GATGCCTCCTTCTGGTCATTTTCTGGCACGGCAGCACCGCCCGTTGCCTTGCCCTTCGCCTCAGCTCACTCTAGCTCTCGCAACACTTTTTCTAGCAAAAGGAAGCACAACAGCTCCACCAACTTCAAGCTTGCAGTACGGACCTTCATATTATACACAGCGGTATAGTTAGTCATCTTGAGCTGACTGGCTTTCGAAACCTTTCATGCCAAACAACCTCAAAACTCAACAACGTTTGGCAAGCGGCAGGTGGGCCCTTGCCGGGACCCTTGGCGGGGCCCTTCGCCTTGCCTTTCGCTGGTGTGGGTGCCTCGCAAATGATGCAGGTCGTCTTGCGAAGTGAACATGAAAGATGCTCTCGTGAAAGGTCGCCTAGTGAACCCAAACGGTACCCTTAACATATTTGGACATTCACGAAATTGGGTGCCGAAGGCCTCGGCAGTGGCTTCTTCCTTGGCAGGTGCAGCTGCTTCGGGCGCTCTCGCTGCCTCCCAACAGCTTCTCGAAATGCGTCTCACGACTGGAGTGAAGGTCACGTGCCTCAGCTGGTGCTGCTTCTGCCGTCACAACGGCGGCTGGTGGAACGTCCTTTGCTTCCAGCGCATCCGGGGTGGCTGCCTGCTTGGGAGTTTCCCGACTGCTGCAACCACAGGACATGTAGCACATGGCAACTGGCAGCATCGAACACGATGGTCTTTGAGTGCAAGCCAGCTGTTGCACCACGCTCCTATCACCTAGATTGTCAAAGTGTTGGACAACCTGCAACCCGTGCCCATGCTATCGTGTTGCTTGAAACTTTCATCGGAGATGCGAGGTGCCGAGCTTGGTGATTTCAAAAGGCGCACAAGGGCTCAAGGACTTTGCACTTTGCCAAACAAGGACAAGTATTCCCGGATGCCTCCTTCTGCTCACTCTCCGGAGGAGCAGCAGCAGCGCCGCCCGTGCCTTTCCCTTTTGCCTCGGCTCGCCCCCTTACAACGATAGCGGAACGACTGCGCACAACTTCTGGAACGGAACTTCCAATACGCAGCCCGTGTTGGGATCACATTCTTCAGCTGACGGGAAAACGAAACCTCTAAGCCTCTAAGCCGCAACAATAAACCTTGGCAAGCGGCAGGTGGGCCCTTGCCCGGACCCTTGGCAGGGCCCTTAGCCTTGCCCTTCGCTGGCATGGGTGCCTCGAAAAGGATGCAAGTTCACGGCAGTGGCCTGCGAGGCCCCACTGTCCATCACACAAGCCCGGGCACACATGGAAGACCCTCTCGAGAAAGGCCGCAAACTATCCCGCACCTAATTGACCCCGGTGCCAAAGGCCTCGGCAGTGGCATCTTCCTTGGCAGGGGCAGCTGCTTCCGGTGTGTTCGCTGCCTCGCGGAAGAGTCTAGAGATGGCACACCCTCATGAGTGAGCAAAGACATGTGCTTCGGCAGGCGCTGCTTCTGCTGTCACCACCGCAGTTGCCGGAGCCTCCTTTGCTTCGTTGGGAGCGTTTGGCTGATGCACTCGACAGCATTCGGCAAACGACATAGAGAGCACCATACCCGACAATCACAGCATTGAACATGGAGCCATTCTGTGAAAGGGCTTCGAAAGTCTCCCAGCTGTTGCACTACATGCACATCACTCGCTTCAACCATCGGGTGTGGGACAACATGGAAACCATGCTGTCGCTTTCCCCGGAGATGGGATGTGCTTGGATTCGTCATTGTACTTTCCAAACAGAATCGCTTGAAGGAGTTGTGGCGACGCATTTCGGGATACCTGCTTGCCTGCCTGCCTGCCTCCTTTCTTAATTACTTACTGGACCGACCGACATGTTGTGCTACTGGCATGTCGATAGCTGCAAGAAGAGTTTGCTAGCTGGAAGTTTGAGCAATAGATCAAAGAACGGGTGGACAATTGCCGCGAACTACACGATCGAGCGAGCTAACTGCAGGACGGATCCAGAAACGGACAAGATCATGATAATTACAACTAGGAAGTGCTGCGAGAGAGACACAGAGAGAGAGAGAGAGAGGGAGAGGGAGAGGGAGGGAGCCAGGGAAGCATAAATGCACGGAGAGAGACAAATGCATAAATGCACAGTCAAACCTAACAAATTGTGAAGGACGAACATGAGAGAGAGACATAGAGAGTTAGAGAGAGAGAGAGAGAGAGAGAGCGACAAAAAGACAGAGCGAGCGAGGGGAGAGAGACAAACAGTTGAGGGGGCGAGAGAGCGAACACAACCAAAAACTCGAGAACCACGAAAGAGAGACAGTGAGAGAAAGAGAGAGGGAGGGAGAGAGAGAGAGAGAGAGAGGGAGAGAACGATAATAAGACAAATCACCAGAAAGTAGACAGAGAGGTAGACAGCTGGGGGGAGATGGAGGCGTGCAGGTTCGACGGTTGAAGGTCCGACAGGGTAGATAAATATAGGTGTACGTGCAGACCTCACCTCTGGCATCGCGGCTTTCTCCTTGAAGTCTTGCAGCGACTTCTCCAGACTGCCGTCCTTTGCGGCTTGGATCAGCGAGGAGCGGGCCCTCTGCCGGCTGCTCTCTTCGCCCGTCCCCTTGGCTGCAGCCCGTGTCGAACTACCCATAGGCCCCTAAGCAGTTCCTTTTTTATGATTTATATTTAGAATCCTACAAGGTAATCCCCAAAAGGAACTACTTAGGCGCCTATGGGTAACATCCATACGACCTTTACTTTAGCTGCCGATTTCCAGCTCCGATGCCCGAAACGATGGCTCGTACCCTTATACACAGCGCAAGGCTTCGACCCAGACCGTGGATCCTCAATCGCTGAGGAACACTGAATTTCCGAGTGTCAACAACTGCGACACTGGCAAAACTCGTTTCAAATGAACATCGCAGCTGTTGATTTGGTTTGATAGTTTCCTTTTCCGATGCCTCCTGCTGTCAAGCAGCTTTGCCCTTGCCTTTGGCCTCAGTTGTCGGACAGCGTCGAAGCTCGGCATAGACACTAAGACAGAGACACTCAAACGGAGGTGGGCACAAAGACGCTGTTCCCGTTCTCATCCCACGATGAACAAGCGAGCGACGGGCGGGCCCTTGCCAGGCCCTTTGGCAGGGCCCTTGGCCTTGCCCTTGGCGGATGGCAAGGCCTTCCGCAGGCAAGGGCCATGGTGACAGCGAAGGAAGGGCTGAGCAAAATGCGAACCCATGCTGCATCCACGCAACCACGCAACGACAAGAAAAAAGTAATGTCCCTGGAACAGGCTGGCAGCTTCCGAAAAGGGCATGGCTGAATCTTCAGCTTGCGACTGCGACGACTACTTAGTGACTACTTCGATTTTAAAGCCTCAGTTTACCCATAGGCCCCTAAGTAGTTCCTTTTTATGGTTTATATTTAGAATCCTATAAGGTATAATCCCCAAAAGGAACCCTAAACCCTAAACCCTAAGCCATAAGGTAATCCCCAAAAAGGAACCACTTCGGGGCCTATGGGAAAGCACGCGCCTCAGCAGCCGAATCTTCCGTGGCTCCGGCCGCCGGCTCCGGCGCCGGCGTGCTTGTTGCCACCTCTGGACACGGAGTCTCCCCCAAAATGGAGGGTTTAGGTTTTTTTTTAGGGTTTAGGGAGGTTTTTTGGGATTGAAGTCTTAGAACTATCGGGTTAAGATTCGAGGATGTAGTAGGGTCTTGGAGTTTGGGCCGCTCGCTTGCACGACTGCTTCTCGAAGACTTGTGCAGGTGCCTCGGCCACTGCTGTTTCTGCCACCGCTGTAGTCGCAATCTCCTTTGCTTCCATCGTCTCAGTCGCAGTCGCCTGGCTGCGACGACTCTCTTCGGAGTTAAGCAGGATTGCCGACGGCTTCGGGAAGCTTCCATTGTTCATGAATCGTCAAAGTGGCTCCAAACGTTAACCTTTCGGCTCCTACAATCGGGTTTGCTAACTCAGATTTATGTTGCTGTTTGTTGTTGTTGTTGTTGTTGCTGCTGCTGCTGCTGCTGTTGTTGTTGCTGTCGTCGTCGTCGTCGTCGTCGTTGCTGCTGCTGGTTGCGGTTGAGGTTGAGGTTGAGGTTGCTATTGTTTGTGCTGCTGTTGTTGCTGTTGTTGAGACTTTCTTGTTGCTGCTGCTTCTCTTTATGCCAGTGGCGATTATGATTACTATTGCTCTTGCTGCTGTTATTGCCATTGTTATTCTTGTTACCGATATTGGTATTGCTATTGTTCTTGCAACTTGTTATTGTGATTGCCATGGTTCTTGTCGTCATGTGGCTCTCCCTGCGTTAATGCTGCTACTGCTGTTCATTATCATTCTGCTGCCCTCCGAAACCCTATATTATAGCCTAAGCCTTTATACTTTCTGCGCTCCAGGATCTTCGATGCACAGCTCAGGTCGTTTGGAGAGGCTGCACTTCAGCCAGCTGGTGCTGCTTGTTCGCATTGGGGTTCTACTGGCGGCTTGGGCTTTGGCAGCTTTTGGGTTTAGGGCGCTCACAATCCACCCCAAAGCTTCCTTTTTTTGCAAGGTTCCTACATTTGTTTACTAAGATCTATAAGAAGGCATAAGGGAGCATTACAAAGACAAGGTACGGTGGATGATATAAATCCTGCATTACCCATAATAAGGAATATGCCATAATTCCCATAGTTTAGGGTCCTTAAGGTAATGCAGGATTTATATCATCAACCGTATGGCAGCTTAAACGTAAGGTCTGGGCCGACTCTGCCTCGGGCATCGCAGCTTTCTCCTTGAAGTCTTGCAGCGACTTCTCCAGACTGCCGTCCTTTGCGGCTTGGATCAGCGAGGAGCGGGCCTTCTGCCGGCTGCTCTCTTCGCCCGTCGCCTTGGCTCGGTTTAGGGTTTAGGGTTTAGGGTTTAGGGCCACTTTAGGGTTTTAGGTTTAGGGTTTAGGGCCACTTTATGGTTTAGGGTTTAGGACCACTTTAGGGTTTAGGGTTTAACAAACCCTGAGCCCTTCAACGCAAGATTGCTGTTTCTGTCGTCGCAGCCGCTGGATCATGAATGCTTCCTGCTGCCATGCCGCTTTGCCCTTTCCCTTGGCCTTCGCTGCAGGAAAACCCTAAAGCCTACACAAACCCTAAACCCTAAAGCCTACAAAAACCCGAAACCCTAAAGCCTAAACCCTAAAAACCCTCACCCTACAGCCTACTCAAACCCTAAACCCTAAAGCCTACTCAAACCCTAAACCCATAACCTTAAAGCCTGAACCCTAAACCCTAAAGCCTACACAAACCCTAAACCCTAAACCCTACAGCCTACTCAAACCCTAAACCCTAAACCCTAAAGCCTTAACCCTAAAGCCTAAACCCTAAACCCTAAAGCCTACACAAGGCCTGAACTGGTCATTGGGCAGAGGCAGCTCCCTTCTCGTGAAGCTTCGGAGTTGCGGTGTTCAGAGTTGTTGGGTTCTGCTTCTGTTTGGTGTTCAGGGGTTTAGGGGTTTAGGGTTTAGGGGTTTAGGGGTTTAGGGTTTAGGGTTTAGGGTTTAGGGGTTTAGGGTTTAAATTAGGGTTGTGAGGTCTTTGGGCTTGGGGTGGTGCCGGTTTCCCTTGCGGTCGTGGGGGGACGGGATTAGGGGTGGAAGGGCCTACAAAAGGGTGTAGGGGGCCGATCTTTAAACCTTGGGTACTGCCCCCATACAATAACAGCCTTTAGTAGGGCTACTCTTAAATGCCGTATATATCCATGTTATGAATACTACTCAACTGTTACTGAGTGGGGGCAGTATCCTATCATCCAGTCTGAACCCTAAACCGTGGCACCGACAACTCGACCCGACATCTCAAAGGACAGCTACCGACCCTTAACCCTGAACCCCTAAGCATGTAGGGTTTAGGGGTTAGGAAGCGGGGGTTGGGTTTGCGGGGGAGGTTAGGGACAACCTATGCCAGCATGGACCCTGCATCGAATTGAATATATAAATGCTATGCATATAATAACAGTCCTAGCAATAATCATCATCATAGCCACAATAATCACAGTATAATTCGAACAATTGTATTAATAAGCTAAACAAGAGAGAGAGGGAGAAGGAGAGATGTATATATATATATATGTGTGTAATAAGAAGAAGAACAAGACTAAGAACGCCCCCATCACCAGAACCAAGCCACGGGAGGGCCCTTTCCGGGTCCCTTCGCTTTCCCCTTGCCGGCTGCTGGGGCCTCTGGCATGCGCCGCGAGGGGACTCTCCGATTTCAAGTGTTTGGGTGTTGTAGGGTTTAGGGTTTATGGGGTTTATAGGGTTTATAGGGTTCATAGGCTGCATAGGGTTTATAGGGTTTGTAGGGTTTATAGGGTTTATAGGGTTTATAGGGTTCATAGGGTTTATAGGGTTTATAGGGTTTTTGGTTTAAGCCTCTTTATTGCAAGTTCTCTCCCCTCAGAAACCTTCTGATAGCCCAATCCTGCCCCTCCCTGAACCAGAAATCTTGCAATGGAAGCTCTGAGCTGTATCCTGTTTTGCCGAGATCACGCTGCGAAGCCTGAAGATGCCTGAAGTACCCATAGGCCCCTAAGGCGTTCCTTTTTATGGTGTATACCTGGACCACCCTTTGTGTAACAAATTCTTGCCCGAGCATGTTTTTTGCTCGTTTGAAGGTGGGTCAACACGATTTTGGGGTTGTCGCCCGTTTTGGAAAGGAAACGCTCGATTTTCCCAAAAACGTTAGTTTTCAAAAAATCGCTCGATCTCCCAATCTGACGTACATGATATTTAGCCGGCATCTACATTGCCTCAACCTGAAGCACGTAGTGTCCTCTGTTGCTCGCGCTTGTGCTTGCAGGCACGTGTCAGCTATTGTCTCACATCCAACACACAGGACAGTATCGGCTGTTTTGCTCAGCAAGCATGCTCGATCCCGTGTCAAGAGGATTGCAAGTTTCAAACGACGCTGGGTTTAGCCTTGTAAGAAGGAGAGAGGTCACAGAGCATTGTTTGTCATTGCAAGACATAGCCAACAGAAAGGCGGGTGGTGCCCAAAGCTTCTGGCGGGCGGCACAGTCTTCACAGTTCAGATCTGCATTGTGGCAGAAACAGCAATTACGAAACGAGATATTTCACCTATTTTGGGATTTGCGTCCGTTTGCTTGGTTTTGCGCCCGTTTGGCGGGTTTTTGCGCCCGTTTTGCGGGTAAAATTGCTCGCTTTTTTCTGCTTCACCATCATAAACGCCAAAAGTTCGAGAAGCAGGATTTGGCTACATTTGGGGCAGAAGCCTGCCAACCAAGCTTTCCATCGTGATCTTAAACTTAGTTTTAAACCGACTGATTAGGCTCAGGTTTCCATTCCGCTTTGCAAAAGCCCAGTTCGTAAGTAAACACCGGCCGCTGTGCCACCAAATTCCCTAGCAATCCTGTACGAAGGTAAAGAATCAATCACATATGGACATTCTGTGTGCGTACCTGCCACTGTATCTTATCTGTATATAGTTGTAGGAACATTGTATGTAAACTAGGGGCAGCTACACTATGCCACATCCATCTACAAGCTGTTGAGCACATACATAGCCACGGTATGATCAGGATTTGGCAGGTCGCATCGACACTGCAACATAATTAGATTGCCCAAGGAATTCGTTAAACTAAGTAATTGCTCGTTTGACCTTTTTTTCGGTCGTTTTGCACAAACAGGTTGCTCTACAAAGGGAAAGCGCGAAATCGCTACAACAACCAAACGAGCAGAAATAAACGTATCAAAGGAAGCACCTGGTATATCGAATCCTATAATTATAAGGTAATCCCAAGAAGGAACTACTTGGTTCGCGGTTGAT